CCCCAAAACCCCAAAACCCCTAGTGTCCACATATCAAAAAATAAAGGTAAGAAAAATTAATTAAAACAACAAAAGCGTCACTTATGAGGCTATTGAAGTATCAAACTTACTTTTAAAAATATTATTAAGTTACTTTTTCATTTCATTTATCTAAAGTAATCCAAATAGATCACTTTATTTCAAAGTCCATTAGTTTAATTTTATCATCACCAATATAATACTCAAAATAAAGTTGCGGTATAAGATTTTATAAACGCTGCACCGATTGGAAGTAAAACGGCAAAACCACATTCCTTAGGATAAGCATTTATTGGAATGTTACAGATACATTCAAGAATTTCTGAAGTACTGTTTCTACTGCTCTTACTAGTCGTACAAATTTGATATTTAGGAGAATGATTGTAAATTATAGGATTAAGCCCAGATGTTATTTTAACTGAGGACTTATATGATTTATCTTTTGTTGTTAAACCAGTCACATACATAAGTTCATATCTGGAGCTACCATTAGTATATTTGATTAATTAAACATACTATCCATACAGATATCCATTTAAGTCATTAGATATGGCAAATGATTAGGAATTTCTCATTTTCACATAGTCAAGAGTGAGATTGCTTGTAAAAGAATAAACTGGTCCTTTCTATGTTATATCAGGCAAGATGGACGTGTTAGTAACAGGAGTTGTATTTATTATTTAAGTAGAATTAGTCTTGATTTAGCTAGTTGTGACATTTTTATTCTCAATAATTACTTTAGGCTATATAGTCTTTAATTCTTTAATTGAAAAATCATGAGAGGTAGGTCTGCTTGTCTTATTATTAGAATCTGTAATTTGAATATCAAAAGGAGCCAATATTACAATGCTATAGTCTTTTACAGCACCAGCAGCCCAGGTAACATAAGCTTCTAAAAGATAATTTCCTGCGGCTAATCCACTTACTGAGAAATTAAGGCCATAATTAGCATTCTCATAATTTGAAGAAAATGCTATTTATTTTAAAGTTACTGGATTCTTTAATCTTAAGATTATGAGTTAATTCACAGTTTTACAATTCAAGGAATACATTCTAGAGTTATAGGGCACTAATCTTATGTACATATATGTTGTTTGATTTAAGGAGAAATAATACTTCGATGAAACAGTGTTTGACATTACTTAGTCTTTCACTTTGTCATACCAAGATGTCATCCAGGTATCATTGACGTAAGAAATTGTTATTGATGAAAAGGCTGAGATCATTTCTTCAGATGTCATCATTACTATTCCATCTTCAGCAATCACAAGCCCTGCTTATCTTGCGTAAGTTTTGCCATCTAGACCAACAGTTTTCCAAATAGAGGCAGTATCATTAAATTTTCCACTGAAGTTTGCATCCCTTTGCCATGGATTTCTTATTCTATATAGATTGATCTATGATTTATCTGCAGCATTAATCACTAAGACACCTAATAGAGAATAAGAATGCTGGCAAGGAAGATTGAATGAACAGACAGCTTTATCACCAAGATTATTAGTAGGTGTATCAACATTCATGACGTAGTTTGAATCGTCTGCATCTTTCACCAGTTTCCAGATAGTATCAGGTTTCAGTGAAGTCATAGATATTCTCTTGGACGGCGCATTAGTTAAAAATTCAACACCCTCATAATTGTAGCCGCTTCCAATCTTCTCATAGTTACCATTCACTTTTGCCCAAGCTTTTTCTATTAAAGCACCCCAGTAAGATTAATCAGTCCCAATAGTTGCAAATAATGGAGTTTTTGAAGATTTTATTGGAATCAAGCTATCAATTACAACTATAGCTGGAGCTCCTTTAATAAATACATTGAATGCAAAGAGACCAGCGCTGTTATTTCTTTCATTCACAAAAATCTTTTTGAATCTGGCATCTATTTCTGCAACAGAAGTAATTCCGGAAAGAAAATAGCAATCACCAACTTAGCCTTGATCGATATCACTCAAGTAATCAGATGTGCCAAAAAGAGAACAACTTGGGCATATTTCTTGAACCCTTAACCATTTGGTATTTGCATAAGAAGCTAACTTATTAGTAGTATAGATTGTTGATTGCCAAGATATAGAATTATTTGATGCAGGAAAAGAGGCGTCAAACCAACTTGTTTAGCTATTTTGAATTATATCCGCATATAAAGGATTTGCCTAAATAATTGTAATTCATTATAGAAATATACCTGCTTGAAATTATCTATAGCAGTGGTGCAATTTATTGGATTGCTCTAAACTTGGACTTATTTCTTGAAAAAATCTTTTATCTTAATAACCAAATTCTTTAATCCATAATCTCCATTCGCATTTACATTTTGAATGAGACTTGTTATATAGAGAAGCAGCAATAAAGATAGATTGAGTCTCCAGTTCATAATTATTTTTAAATATTGTTTATTTCAATCCCTATTATTGTAATTTTATTCGATATTAATAGATTAAAACTTTGATCCATAATAGATATAAAATGACTCTCTACTTTTTTATTATTTATCACCTCTATAACTACAACTAACTAAATAATTATTTAGCGGGGTTTTGGGGTTTTGGGG